AAAAAAATATACGCGAAACCGGCGGTTTAAAACCGGACCAAACCGTTAGGTTTAGATTTGAGTTTTTTTCAAACCGGTCAAAACGGTTTGGTTTAGGTTTGAGTTTTTCTCAAACCGGTCAAAACGGTTTGGTTTGAAAATTTGTCAAAAACCGCAAAAATCGGACCGCTTACACCCCTACTGTTTGATATTCATTAAATTAAAATTCATTTTTTTCTCAAACTCATTTTCAACTACACATTCACTAAATAACGTACTTTCCACGTAAATCGAATTTTTTTCCCTATTTTTTTTATCGCGTATTCTTCAAATCACTATTTCAAAACTCATTTTTTTCAAAAAAAATAAAAATAAAAGACGGAAGGAATTTGAGGAAAGAAAATAATTGGTCACTTTTGTATAGTTCACCTCTTCAACTTTTGCCATTGTTTGGTCCCATTGTTAAAAAAAATAAAGAAAAATAAAAAATTCTCCTCTCTTATTTTTCAACCACACATTCTTAAATAAAATAATATTACACATAAATCCAAAATATTTCTTTATTTTTTTTCCATACATTATTCATCAAATCACTATTCCAAAATGTATTTTTGATATACAAATAAAAAAAAAAAAATTAGGCTCAAACATGCTCTTTGTATCACAACATGATTTGTTTTTTTAACCGTAACAAAAAAAGAGTAATTTGTTGTAACAATAACACTGCATCTATATTTTTCTTTATATTAAATTTGACATTCTTCCACATGAAATCTATCATAACTATTGATTTATAAAACACCCTATTACATCACTGGCCAGATTTTGAAATATAGTGGGGCATTTCAAAGAGAATGTCAAGGAGAATGCACATATAACTTAATTCTTTATTGTAATTGCCAAAAATATAATGAAAAGACACTCAAATTTCAAGCATATATGAGCTACCTTTGTGTAGAATGTTGACCTTGCATAAAAGTTGTTTGAGAAGTGTCTCAGTGTTAATAAATTATAAGTCTATGTTTGATATCCTTTATTTTAAAATACTTTTTTTATATACTCATTTTCAATCACATTTACACAATAAAATATTTTGCACATAAACTCAAAATATTTTTCTATTTTTTAACCACGCATTCTCCAAAAATTCACTATTCAAAACATTGAAAATCTCAAATGAGTATGAAACAGGGGCATGAAGCTTACTCATAGCACTTCTCCAATGTCTAGAGAAGTTCTTGTAGTTGAGGCAACATCTATAGCTACACTGATTCAAGAGAGAAATGACCTTATTTGGGAAGAAACTTTTCTCCCCTGATTTCAATTTAACGTATGCTTTCAATTATTGAAGGGGGTGAGTCATAATAAAACCATTTTAGGAGACGTTTATGAAGCTCATATTTATAAACCATATAGAGCAACTTGAAAAGGAAAGAATAATTGCTGCACTTTGGGGATGCATAGAGAGTAGAGCAAAGAGGAGCTGAAATGAAAATGAAGGAACACATATACAACGATTTAATCTTCAAATATAATTGGGCGAACCTAAGAAAAATAGAAAAGAAGAGTGGCGAAGCTTTACTAAAACATGAAAATGAGCTACTTACAGGACTATTAATAAGAGAGATTGGCCAAAAATGAGAAACTATCAAAAAAAATTTCATAGGTAAAATAAAATAGAAGCGCCTGCTAAATAAGGAATAATATTTGTAAATTCCACGAAATATATGAAAAAAGTGATTCAACTGTTTATAAACAGTAATAAACATTAATCAAACATGCACATATTCTTGTATCTCAATCGTCAACTATGATACTTCAATTACGTTCCTGATTCCTTCAATTCAAAAATTCGATTCCCTATTTCAAGTTTTCCTTGAATACGATAAATACATTCCCTTTGTATATGAATTTTTTATCGATTATTTTTTTTTTCAGTTTTTTTATATATTTTTAATTTATCTTCAGACGAAGACAGTACATGTATTTTGCTATACGTTAGACATGCGATCAACCAGTCTACATCTTTAACACTAGATTCCATATTAATGGCACCAACATTTTGAGCACCTGAATTTATAATTAGTCAATTAGTGCACCAGTTATTACTTATTCAGCCATAACTTATAATCAATCATTTTGAGCATGATTACTTATTAGTTTATTTATGTTTAATGAAATACCATTTATTTCATAAATCAGAGAAGATATATTCACGTGGAAACTAATGACATGTTTGGCATGCCTAACTAAAGATGACTAGAGAATTGTTTTCAATAAATGAGTTGACTATATGAATCTCTTTTTTACCATCCATTCAGTTCAATGCTTGATTTATTAAAGTGTAATGCTATGTAACCTCACTGAGATTGTAACCTCAGTCTATGTGACTTTAAATGATATGATAAATGAAATGTGAAGTTAAATAATTTATTTAATTTCACATATCATTTAATGCCACCTTAACGCCACATAGATTGGGGTTGTAATAACAGTGAGGCTAAATAATATTACTCTTTATTAAAGTTGTGTCTGTTTCCAATTAATCAGCCATTTTTTATTGCTTTTTGGACCGTTGCAAGAGGAGTCAGCCGATTTCTTTGACTTTTCATCTCACAATGGGCCCCATATGCTACCAAAAAAGGGTAAAAAAAAAATCAATTTTCGAGATTAAAAAAGCTCTCCCAGACATGCTCTAAATATTTATAGACATTTGATTCTTTAGTAATCAAATGAAATCGCACTAATTTTATTCGCATTTCTTCTTGTAATGCTCTCTCTCATTATCTCGTCGTTCTTGAAAATAGAAGTCTTTGAATTTACTTAAACATGTCCTAAACATGTCTCAGTTGATTATAATTTCAAATCAATAAAGGATGAATTATTGAATAAAATACATTGAAAAACATAGTTAACGAGGTCCAAATCCAATCAAATGAAGTCTACGCACATATTGTAGCACTAGCAGTTGATACGTACCTCTCACCAAAATAATGTCACAATAAAATAAAATTATTCTCAAGAATATTATCAACAAGCATGTGGTTGTCGTCACCCCCTCCTAGCTGGTTTTGATATCATATTCCGGACCAACTAACAAAAGCACAAAACCGGTCAATGCAGTTTCCACCGCCACCCCCTTCAGATAAACAGAGACTCATTTGCTGAAAAGAAGAAGAAAATGGGTTTGGTAGAAGAAGCACACAACGTGAAAATTGTTGGTTCGGGTGACCAAACCATAGTACTCGCCCACGGGTTTGGAACGGACCAGTCGGTTTGGAAGCACCTTGTACCATATCTGGTTGAAGATTATCGGGTCATACTGTTTGATAATATGGGCGCCGGAACCACCAACCCGGATTACTTTGATTTTGAAAGGTACTCGACTCTTGAAGGCTATGCTTATGATGTGATTGCAATATTAGAGGAGCTTCAGATCCAGTCGTGTATATTTGTGGGGCATTCTGTGTCCGCCATGATTGGGGTTGTCGCTTCGATAACCCGACCCGATCTTTTCACCAAACTTGTTACCGTCTCTGGTTCTCCGAGGTTAGATCTTAGACTGTTAAAATGGTTTGAATTTGTTGAAGTGATTGCATGGTCTTTTTCGCAATTATAATCCAAATTTGAGGCTCTTATTGTTCATTGAAATAGATGGTCAGCTACGAGGATTTATTTGGGAGACATTATACATTAAATAGTTAGTAATCCTATAGAACATATTTGAAGGATATAAATGTAAGTGATGCATGGAAATTAGGTTTCTATTACTGTGCATTTCAACATAGGTTTAAACTAGAAACGAAGATCGATCTGACTTGGAACTGACCAACATAGCCCGTAATTTTTGGTGGCTATGCCGAGCTTTCCCAGCAAGAAAATGAGGCCCCAAGGACCGCTTTGTGATTCAGAACCAATTTAGGGATGACAAAATTCTTAGATTCATTCTTGCCTCATGGGAAAGCGAGACAGAGAAGACACAATTTTCATGGGCTATTTGTGTGCAAGACGAGCGTTAAACAATGAATAAATACAGATTAAGAAATCACAAGCAAACTCATGTTCCCTTGTGCGAAATTGATTAAGAACTAAAAAGTAAGCGAGTCCCCAGAAACAAAAGCGAGCATTCATAAAGCATAAGAGCTCGCAAACAAAAGTTGCGAACTATTTCCATGTCGATAGAAATCGTTATCAAGGCACACATGAACAAATGTTTAAAACATGATTTCAAAACCTATGAATAAAGGATCGGTGAGTAAAATTAGTTATACGTCAGCCATTGAATGACCGCCACTTATCATAAAGTTGAAAAGACTAATTGCCCCCAAAGCCCAAAAGAAATCTATAAATAGTCTCAACTAAAAGGAAAGAAGCATGCAAATTAGAATATCTCCCTCTCAAATAATCATTTCCTTTCTTGCTACTTACTGAGCATCAAGTAAAGTGAGATTAAGAAGAGAAAATCCTAGTTAGATGAGATAAATTTGTTAATCGTTATTCTAAGGTCAACAACGGGCTTGTCAAGTATCAACCATCAGTACATTTCACGCGGTCTATTTAACCTTTTAAATGTGGTTTGCATTGTCCAGGCCTTTAAATATTGGATCGTCGTCGATTTTGGTTAACCAATAATTTTTATATCCTTTGTTGACCTTAGTGTCGAATTTTGAGCTTTGCTTAAGTCATACACAATTTTTTGTCCTTTCAGCACACTTCGTTAGTGCTTTTCGATTTGTCATAACATCTAAACATCCACAATTTCACATTTCTCATTTCTCATTAAACTTCATACTCAGGTACTTGAATGATAAAGACTACTACGGAGGATTTGAACAAGAAGATATTCAACAATTATTTGAAGCCATGCGAACGAATTACAAGGCATGGTGTGATGGATTTGCACCGCTAGCTATAGGTGGTGACATGGAAATAGTGGCGGTCCAAGAATTCAGTAGGACTTTATTCAACATGAGACCTGACATAGCATTAAGTGTTGCACAAACAATATTTCAGAGTGACATGCGACATTTGTTGCCCCATGTCACTATACCTTGTCATATAATTCAGAGCATGAAAGACTTAGCTGTTCCGGTAGCAGTTTCTGAGTACCTCCATCAAAACCTTGGCGGCAATTCCATAGTTGAGGTGATGCAAACTGATGGTCACCTACCCCAATTGAGCTCGCCGAATGTTGTGATTCCAGTGCTTCTTAGGCACATCCGCTATGACATTATTGCTTGATTATCTTTGTCTAGTTGCATTACTTGATTGATTTATTTACCTGGAGAAGTACTTTAAAAATTCGGTGTGCAATATTGAAGGTTCTTGTGAAGTTTGTATATATTTCAAATGCTACCATTTAATTTATGTAATTTTATAACTGTTTCTCTCATTTTAAAATGTTTTTAAATAAGTATTACACTGTATTAAATAATGCTGTACTGAATAAATAAAATTTCAGAAAATTATTTTCCAAGGAAAGTTGAGAGTGGAGAACTCTCGGGCCTGAAGGAATACATAAACGCTAAACAGGACGTTCTGAAATTTTTAGGAGTGCATGTAAGTGTTATACCCTAAATCC